ATTTATCATTGATCAATCATTCTAAGCGATACAAATGATCGTTTTATGAAAAAAAGAATTTTCTAAATCATCCTTCCTCCGCAAAGAAAATGAAGCCCGACACTGTGCAACTCCACAGAATAGGCGTACGATAGTGGGGAAAGTCGCATAATGCGCGCCCTCGTCGTGTTTTTTGTTTTGCCGAGGATATAGCGTTAGGTTTTGTTTTAGGGTGGCTGTGACTTGCACCTTTCACCTTTTTCCATGAGTACTGCAAATTAGATTGCTAGACAATTATTTATCATATAGCACCTCGAATCTTGACGATCATAGTATAAGCGGTGCAGACGATGCTCGCTCGCTAAATTTTTGGTGAAAGATTTGTGTAATTAAACTTAATAATTTGATAATCTTTTGAGTAATGAGAGATCCCATTGTAAGGTCATGTTGGACCTCGTCTTCCATTGTACTTAAGCAGAAAATAATGGATAAAAGCCCATGTAATTACAACAATATCCCTTTGTTTTTTTTTTCTTTTTATTATTTTTTATGGATGGTCGGTCAAAAGCAATTTTCTGATTCACAACATCATTTTTCTTCTTTTTTCGGTGAAAGTAGGTCAAAGAGAAATGATCACTCGGTGGGAGCTAAGTTCATGCATCGATTCACCTTCATAAGCACTCGGAAAAGATCCAACTTCGAGATTAGAGAAAAGGCTACCGAAAATCTTAAACAATGCCTAATGTGATATATTTACCTTAAACTTCTTTTTGTGACACAAAAACTCCAAACTTGTACCATGTGACATATTTACCCTAAATTGCACGGATACAAGTTTAGGGTTTTTGCATTATAAAAAAAAGTTTAGAGTAAATATGTCAAACGGGTATAAGTTTGGAGTTTTGGGATAAATGTGTCACATGAATATAAATTTGAGGTTTTTTGTATCACAAAAAAAAATCTGAATAAATGTGTTAAAGTAGGCATAGTTTAGGATTTTCGATGGCTTTTTCCCTTGAGATTATAACGTCAAGTTTGCTTTTGTTTTTGTTGTCTCTCTGGAATTCCGTATTTTTGCAGAGCTTCCAGATTCGAAACTGTTCATACTCAAACCTAGCCGTAATGTCTGAACTCGGCAAAAGGACACTAGAAGTGCCACAACTTGTGTACGAAGATCACTTTGGTGCCATAACTTTTTTTCGGATCACTTTGGTGCCAAGTCGGAAGAAAAGAGATCACTTTAGTGACTCCGGCCAAAAAGCTGACCTGGCATTTATATTTTAAAAAAAAATGATCTGACTTGTACACGTGAAAATTAGGTGGCTTTTTTTCGAAATTTTTAATTTTTTAGAAAAATAAAATTTAAATTATATTTAAAAAAAAAAAAAAAACATTGCAGCAGCTGCTGCTGCCGCCAACCCACCACCGCCGGGAAGGGCCGGCGGTGGTGGGCGGAGTGGTCGGCGAGGGTCGCCGGCCCCTAGCCGGGGCCCGGCGACCCTCGCTGAGACCCAGCGAGGGCCGGATCCGGCGAAGAGACCTCGCCGTCGCCTGGGTCGCGACGGCGAGGGCTCGCCTCGCCTTTGCCGGGCGAGGCTAGACCTCGCCGTCGCCCGGGTCGCGATGGCGAGGTCGGCCTCGCCTTTGCCGGGTAAGGCGAGACCTCGCCATCGCGACCGAGCAACGACGAGGTCGGCCTCGCCTTTGTTGGGCGAGGCGAGACCTCGCCGTCGAGACCCAGGCGACGGCGAGGTCTCGCCTCGCCGATCTAGCCCTCACCGGGTCTCGGCGAGGGTCGCCGGGCCCCGGCCAGGGGTCGGCGACCCTCACCGACCACTTCGCCCACCACTGCCGGCCCTTCCCGGTGGTGGTGGGTTGGCAGCAGCAGCCTCGCCGCTGTTGCAATGTTTTTTTTTTATATAAATATAATTTAAATTTTATTTTTTTTAAAAAGTACACGTCAGGGGACTAAACGGCGTCATTTTTTGTTTTTAATGCTGACTGGACCTCTCCGGCGAGCCATGTCAGCGCCACATCGGATTTCCGACGTGCCACATCAGCATTGACATTAAAATAATCGTTTTTCAAAAAAGTTGACACCAAAGTGATCCGAAAAAAAGTTATGGCACCAAAGTGATATCCGTACACAAGTTGTGGCACTTCTGGTGTCCTTTTGCCGTCTGAACTCATAGCATGTTTTAGGCTTCACAGTTTTCCTGGTTTTGGTTAGTACGACGATTAGGACTTTGAAGAGGGTGGCTGGAGCATTGCGAGCATATAGCCCACACCACTTCGAGCCACGCTCTAGTATGTAGTTATTGGACGCAGAAAGAGGGTGGCTATTTAGAGATCATAGATGCAACAGGCCACAATATAGGTGGACGCTGGTAGAAATGTAGCTTACGTTTTAACTCGATCAATTCGCCTGCAAGGACAAATGAACTATGTCGAAGCGCTTTGCTAATCGATCCTTCCGACGCCGACATTGTTCTCCAGCTTAGGATATGCATTTTTCATTCAATATAGGAGCCTTCATTGTACCAAAAACTCGAGGGTGTCGTGCTTTTTATGGAGAAAAAAGAGAAAGCCCCTTTTACTTATTTTGAAGTGGTTGGTTGCTGCCTTAGTTGCGGGGCCTTCCTTTCCATGGTAGAGGTGATATTAAGAGGGCCCGGACGGGCCGAGCCGCAATGTCGGGTTTGACGTGTCATTTAGGCCCGGCCATAGGTTAAAATGCGCATTCAATTGTTGAGGTCGGGTAGGATTGAGCTTGGGCCAAAAGTTGAGTTGGCTGGGATTTTGAATATATATAAACTGAAGAGTGTTGCCCAAATCTGTTCATTTTGTCCTTGAGGCTTGATATGCCCTACCGTTTGCCCGCCCATTTATCGGATCTACCTTTCCGATTTCCGATTCTTGGGAAGGCACCGTACTGACCCGACTTGACTGGACCGAACCGGCGAAATCGGCCCAGAGTATACTAGAAAACATTAAAAAAAAAAATGAAGAAAACGTATTGATCGAGCAGTATGTTCCCGGTTCATTGCAAGTCCGTTTCATTATTTTTAATTTTTATCGTAAAAACCATAAAATAAAAATAACACTGCCATCTCCAAGGTGACAAGGTTGGTTCTTGATTCCACAAACTGGGAACCGACCCTAGTCCGATTCTCAATTCCAGGATGGGAACCGACCCATCTTAGAACCGATTACCCCTGCTTGAATACTAGCGGATGCAGCCGATAGAGTAGTATTTTTTTTTATTTTATAGTTTTATGGTTACAGAAATGTATAAATGGAATTGTAGTACTAACTAAAGCCAGGTGATTAGATCTAGTAAAAATTTTGTTGACTATAATATTGTTAACACATTATGTAGAACGCGTCAATCAAATAAAGTTTTTAGTACGTTTGTTTAGAATATGTATGTATCTTTTAATCTGAGAATAAGCTTTCTAATTGTGACCAATATTGTGACCAATACCAATAAGAAGATGTGATCTTTTTTTTTTTGTCTTTTCTTTATATGTATGTATATTTGATATCACTGCCTCACAAGTCCTGATCTTAGGTCACTGGAGAGTTCTTCTAGAGCAACTTGATTTGACCAAAAAGAATGAGGAGCCATTTGAATGCACAATGATTTCGTTATTAGTTTCAAAGCCAACATATCAAGTGTTTTTTCATCTTTGAAATTTAGTAAATCTTTCTAATGACATTAATAGTCATTTCTCTTGTTTTTTTTTGGCTAGCGATAATATTTATCTACTTGTGATTATCTATTTTACAGTATCCAATTTCCTCTAGAATTATCTATTTCCTTATGCTTCTTTTTCTTTCTTCACATTCAAGGAATCCCAAAAGAAACAGGCTAAACATGTTAACTCATCATTCTCCAATTCTCGAACTCATTCATAACCATACATAGATCGCATTGTGACATTGGTAAATTTGGTATTTATGTTTCATCGTTACCATTGAAATTATGATTCGAGTTCGAGTTCGTGACCGACCCGACCGAGATAAAAGTTTTTGGAACATCCCAACTTGAAAAAGCAAGAGAAGGAAATAAAAGGTAATGAAAAAGAACATAGAAAGGAATCCAACCTGGAAATTTTATTGGATACAGGTTTGTTTTTTGGAAAATATGGGAATCAACTTCCTGATTGAAGTTCCCTTACCAAAAAAAAAACTTCCTGATTGAAGTTACTCACCCATCGGTGGCCGCGTTGGTTTGCGCTCAATTTCTTTCACGAGAGGTCCTGGGTTCAAAACTCGCCCATCGGTGATTTAAGTGGGGGGTCGTGGCAGTGGGATGCTGCGCTAGCCCCCCTCGAGGACTAGTCGGGCATCACCGCTGGTTTGAGCCCTAGTTCGCCGGCCGCGCGGACACCTCGATTATCAAAAACAAAAAAAACTTCCTGATTGAAGTTCCTTACCAAAAAAAAAAAAACTTCCTGATTGAAGTTGGTCAAGAAAAATCAAAAGGGAAACTAAAAGATATTTACTTTCGGTCAGAGCAAGGGGCTTCATCTGGACTTGAGTCCATGTATATATTTCCATGGGTTATTTTGATTTGTCGTCATGCGAAGTTGATGTGCAAAATCAAACTTCTTCGTGAGATTTGGGGCGTTGCACTTAATTGCATCAAGAGGCTTCGCTAATTGCATCTTCAGAAGCTCCACGAGTGTTTTATAGCCGATAGAAAATCTTGTTTAAGATTTTGCTTAATTCATTTACGAGATTAAGAGTGTTTGAGTGATACGAGTGTGGCTATAATTTCCGGTGTATGGCTTAATTTATAGAGGAAATCTTTGCTGCTCTTCCTGTAAACGTAAGTCACCTCGATCAAACCATGTAAATCTGAGATAAACAGACTTGTCAAGTAGCCTTTAAGTCTTATCATACATTTTTCTTCTAATTCGCTGCCTATATAGTAGAAAGAGTTTTCAAGCTCAAAGACTAGTAGGTTGTAGAGAGTCATGCATTACAAGATCGATAAGCTGAACTGTTACATTTCGTGGTCCAAGATAAGCAAGACTTGTCACAAACTGGCGACTCGAGCCAATGAATCTCATGCCATGGCAAGCCAAAATTGGATTGTATCCCTTTCTAGCGCATTGATCGACAGATTCTTCGAGCTACATTGTGCAAGCTGTTGCAAACAACAGCATGTGAAATGCCAAAATGTCAACAAAGTAGTCGAACAGAGACAATTTCGAGAGATGAGCCGTGAATTGTAATTCACATTGAGTTTTTACTAGTAACTCTTACCATTAACTCTAGCTATTCAGATTACACAACTGGTGACCCTGTTAAACCGATCGAACTAAGCTTTTCATATCCACATCAGTTCGAGAAAACACTGATAAAATTCCAAAGTAAGGAATGAAACACAAATGCTACGAAGCATGGTTAATGCTGAAATCATCAGCCATCATGCGAGAGATCAATTTCCGTTGGATTTCCCAAAGGAGAAACCTTTGAGAGGCGCATACCTGGCGAGGATCTCAGCCATTCGCTTTTCAGCATTTTTCTTCTTCAATTCCCATATTGGGATTTCAGCAATGGCAGTCTTGATCTCTCGCATGACAGCTGATATAGAGTTAGCCTTGATCTTCTGCTCAGCAACCGCCTCAACTTTCGCCTTAGTCGTCAACTCGAGGTCATGAGCAAGTTCAGCTTTCCTAGATTGAATCTGGGCAATTTGTTCATCTATTTCTCGCACAAGAGATGACTTGGAATTTATCTGAGACTGCAATTCTCCTGCTCCCTTCTTCAGCTCACTGAACTTTCTCTTGATAGAAGAAACCTTGTCCTTCATGGCCTGAAGATCTCCGAAAAATTTGGTAACCTGCTCAGCAATTCCCTTAGTGCGCAGAAAAACCTTGCCTGCTTTGGGGATCTCTTCGACCGACTTCAACTTAAGCAGTTGATCAACAGTCAAGATGGGATCGGCCGCGAGCTTCTCTACCGAAAAAGTAATCTCCTCTAGGTACTCTGAGGACAGCAAGCATGAGAAATCCAGGGCAAGAATGGAAGAAAGCCTCTTGCGGAAAGTAGACATTTCCTCTGCCATATCAGAACCTACATAAGTGAAAGGAGTCCGCACCTGAGCTTCATCATTGTGCTGAGAAAGAACATGTTCCAAAGACTTTAGACAGTCATCAACATCTTCTTCACAAAATTGAGCATGATGTTTCTGGACATTTTGCACATCTTGTGCCTCGAAATCCTTGGATGCGTAGCAGCTAGAACCAATACGTTGGTCAGGAGCAACGTCCTCAAGATCAATTTGCGGTTCAGAGCCACCTATCGAATATCCACTTCTATCACTTGTACTATCATCCTTTGGGGAACACAAATATTCACTTCCATCACTTGTACTATCATCCGTTAGGGAACACAAGTCAATTACAGACTCGTCATTTCCAGTGTTGGCTTGAGCTGGTATTTTGTAAGACTGCTGGGTTCTGCGCCTAGGGAAGGCTCGTGATATAGCTGGTCTTGCTTTTTTCATCATCTTGGAATTACCGGGGGCTTCTTTTCTCCTCTTAGATGCAATTTCAACCGGTGGTACCTGTGGAAAGACATCTGGATGCAAATCTGCATATCAGAGTGATCCAAAAATAACTGAAACAACTAAGAAGTCGAATGGTATCTTAAATTTTGCTTGTCTCGGCTCAACATTTTTACGCAAATGGGTTTTCCATCAAAAGTGGCAAATGACAGAGTCCTTAAATTTTCTGAGCCTTAGCAACGTGTACTAGCAGTTGCCTAGATTACAGACGGCATAGCGAAACAAAGAGGAAACTTTCATTCGCATCATTTCCCCACTAGAAGAAATGCCGGAATTCATACTTGACTAAATTCCCTTTACAGAAATAGCAGGGTCCTTGAAGTATTTTGAAACTCCACATATTTGGTGTTCTCAATGCAGATAGCAAAATGTATATATGAGAGTGTAAAAGGTAAGGGTAAATCATTTCTGTGAGTAGCTTGCTGTCTGTCATCTTATTGTCTTCTAAACCCAAGCAGGGCTCATCCTTCTCCTTTGTGATTGAATTTACTAAAAGTTGGTCTGATATATCAGACACTTCTGAACTTTTCATGCTCCTTTATACTTGTCTAAATTTTCTATTTTCTGTAGCATCTTCTAGCGCATATAGATCAAACCTCCTAATCATTACATTTTAATCAATGTTAAAGCCATAACTCACCAAAGAGATGAACAGCCAAGTGATCGCAAACTAGAGCTTATACAAACATTATGACCATAAAAGACCTTCCACCTTCTGAATCATTGGACTTCCAAATTGAATGATAGGTTAACGATATAACCAAAACTATGTTAGACTTAAACCTCACCTTCGCTCTGGAGCTGTTTTGTAGAGGGAACCATCCAGCGAAAAGAAGCAAGAAACTCCTCAACATCTGCGTTTGGAAACTGCGAAGAGATGTAGGCTTTGAGCGAAGACTTGCCCCGAAAACGGCAAAAAGAGTCACTGCCACGGAAACGGAGACGCTTTGGAAGATATAATAACCTTTGTTGATAGAAACCAGACGAATTGGTTCTCTTGCCGACCCACCAACGCCAAGTATCGCCGGGATTTGGCCAATCTACGGGAGCATAAGGCAAACCTTCACCCAAACTATAAGGTTCCACAGGGTATAGGTGCATATTGTTCACCTTCATCGCCTCCTCGCTCGAAACTTCATTTCCCATTACTTGCTTCCCCTTCTCCATAAAGCTCCTGAGTTTACGCGACGCAGCAGACTAGCAGAAAAAAGCCATCTCAGGACAACATAAACACGGCAGCATAATGCTAAAATTCAATACTTGATAACATAACTAGCTCCCATCATCAAAATTTTCTAAACCACACAGGCATTTTGTTAAAACAGGCTTTCAAACAAAAACCCCATTCACCGGTAAAGGAGAAAGATTGAAACTACCAACGTAGTCATTAGTTAGAGCGACATCATTCAAGTTCAGAACGTCAAGAACAGTAAAAATGAGACAGACAAACAAAAATCCCCACAAATTTAACGTGAGGAACGAGTTAGAGCCTGAAACATGCATTCACTTAGAAATAAATTCTACAACACCATGAGAAAGTCGAAAGTAAACGAAGAAGGCAAGTAAAAATGAGACCTTTATGCAAAGACTTGATGATGATGAGGGGAATGCAGAGCCGAGAATGAACAAAGAAGATCATAAAGCCACAAGCGACGCGTGCACAGCAAGAAAGCTTGAAATGAAGGCCTTACCCCACCTCAGAGACTTCGAGGTTGAGGATGGTTCAGAGCTTTTCTGGGTCTGTATTCTAGCTTTCGTTTCTTGTTCTCTTAAGCTTTCCTGAAAAATGAGCTAGACAGGAGATGGAGAGAAAAAGAAAGCAGCAGTAGCAGAGAGGGTTTAAAAAGAGCAACGGAGAGCGACGGGCAACGGAGGAGAGAGAGGGCAATGGAGGGAGACGAAAAATCTGAATGGTGGGGCCATCTGGGACACGTGTCGACTGCCGAATGGTCGGGGACTAGGATGACGAGGTGGGTGGGCCCTACCCGACGTTTTCTCCCGCTGGCCGAGTCAGCTCGCCGCCGGCAACGAGTTCGTGCCGAGCAACGTGAACCTGGTGCGGTCGCCGGACGACTCGGGCAGTGGCGGCAACTCACGTTCGTGGCGGCGAGCTTGAGCCGCAAGGCCTATCTCACGGGGACCATCCTTCCCCTCGAGATCGGATTAGCTCGAGGGATCGATACGACTCGAGGCCGATGCCGAGAAAAAGCCTACTTATGGAGGGAACGTGGGGGGATGCACTTTTGATAACTAAGAATAGGAAGCAGCAAAAACAGAGTCTGAATGCAAGGCATGATCAAAAAATGGAAAGAGGCATAGGCAGGTGCATGTGGTGGTGCCATCGTTGGCTTTTAATGCACCTTAAACACCCCCAACCACTAAAGCGATGCCCAAATATGGACAGCATCGACAGCCTCCTCACTTAGGGAACGGTGAAAGCTCGAGATCGCCGCGCCGGAGGATGCCGGTCGCCGGTTCGCGTTCCCCCTCCGACAACAGCAGCTCGCTCCTCTTCTGTGCGTCACCGCTAGATCTCGGTGTGCAGTGAGCGACAGTCTCTATGTCTTCCCGCGTTACAAAGTTTAGAGAATGTCATAAATATTGTATACGAAATCAAATCACATTCTGCAACGTTGATTACTTGTAGGCCTCGCATGGTCCCACGAATAAGGAAGATTCAAACGTTTTGGATGACAAAGAATTATGACCTTTTTGAAGAATACTTCTCATCAACGACGAAAAGCAGCGAACGACCGACAAGCCGCGACCTCAATCGGCGGCAATCAATGGCAGTGGCATTGGCAACCAGAGGCGGCATTGGCGATCGGTGGCGCTGACTATTAGCGACCGACAATAGGGGGTGTGCATCCAGCTCGAGAACTGGACCGAGCCTGCTAATTCTGGATGGCTCCAGCAAGAATCGGTCCGGTTCCTGGTTCCAAATTTTTGAACCGGAAATAAGTGATCTGACTTGCGGTTCCTAAGAAAGAACCATACCGAGACCGGCCAGACTAGACCGAACTGAACCAGTGGAAACGGTCAAGAGTGTATATATATTAGAAACCATAAAAAAAATTTAAGATAAATTATTGACCGAGCAGTATGTTCCCGATTTCTTGTGAATTTGTTTCGCTTTTCTTTTCTTTTTTTTATATTGTGGAAACCATAGAATAAAATTTATAAATAAAAAAAACCCGTGAAATCCAAGTGATGGGGTCGGTTTGCGATTCCACAGATTGCGTATCAACCCTGTTCGGTCCGGTTCACAGATTCAGAGTAGGAATCAATCGACCATGAAACCGATCACCTCTGACAGACAACGTGGAACTGCAGTACTAACTAAAGTTAGGTAATTAGATAGATGCAGACCTAATAGAAAATAATCCTTAATCAAGTTTGTTAACGCGTGAAATTTTCGCCCCCCGATCTGCCCACACAGAACAACTGATCTGGAGCCGTTAGATGGAGACCCGCGCGGGCAGCACCGACCGTCGGATGTTTAGATCCTGGTTTCTCCCCCCTAAAAAAAAGCGATCTCCTTCGTCACCAGGACCGTCCGTCGTCGTCATCCGGTTCTGCACAGAGAGCTCTCCGGCGATGTTGCACGTAGCCCTTCGGAAGAGCTGGGCAGGCCGCCTTGGCCGGAGAATGGAGGAGCTCGACCGCAACATGGACGGCGTCGCGTTCCGCTCCTTCCAGAGCATGGCCATCCACCTCTTCTGCATGTTCCAGGTGGCGGCCGCCGCCAGGTCGCCGTACGTGACCTGCGGGTCCATGTGGATGCCCCCTGTCGCTGTCCTTCGTCATCTTCGCCTCCTACTGCTTCTATTTCTCCAGCGAGCTGCGGCGCCTGCCGAGGTACTCCGCGGAGATGGAGCGCGTCAAGGCGAAGCTGAGCGCGGCTCGGCGGAGGCTGCTCGAGCACTGCTTGGATCACGAGGCCTCCTTGGCGGAGCTCATGTTTGGCTCGACAACCCTGACTAGGGATAACCTGGTGTGCTTCGTGGTCTCGTCCTCGATTCTCATGTGTGCCTTGGTCTGTTCCGCGGTTTTGATGTGTGCAGGATAGGGTGATCGTTGAGGTTCTGGGGCGAGCGTCTTAGCATGGAACCAAACAAACCAAGAAAAAAGGAGGTTTTCGTGGTGATTCTGTTTAGGGTTTTGCTTTAGGTCTCTGGCTTAATTTGACAGTCTCCTCAGCTACTTTGATTCCATGTCGCGTAACCGTTGTGTTCATGTCATGGCATTCGCCTCGGCAGAAACACTGTTGTGGATGGTTAGTGTACAAACATGATCATCGTGGTTCAGTGAAATGAAATGGGGATACTGATCTTGGGTCTCTCTCTTTATCTTCTTTTCTTCCCAATATCATGCGGTCTATGTGATTTTCTTTCTAATTTTTAGCACCAACGCAGGTTTATCTCCATGATTACACAGTTCGGTCTTTTGTGGGGTTTGACACTCGGCGACGGATGAAGTGTGTGGGTGTTCATATCTTAAATGACAAAACCAGGAAGATTGCTTTATACACATCATGGTCACGGATGTTTCAATGTTGAAAATGATACAATGATCGATGATCGCGAATTGTTAGTGTCGATGCATACTATAATCGGTGGTGGCATGAATCTTGTAACGCGCCATCCACAAACAATCTTCAAATCCCGAGCTTCGCTATACTTTCGAAAGGCTTAATATAAGTCACAATTGCACGTCGCAATGCCATGCTAGAATCACGCCATAGTAGTAACCCTAGCACACTCAATAAGGTAATTGAATTGCCCGAATCTCTCTCCCTTGAGCCCTAAGTAATGGCGGGGCTTAAGCTGCTGAGAACCGAGCATCTCAATGTGCGGTCTCAACGGGACTTCGAATAGTCGGCTGTATAGGACCTTGAGGGTCTTGAGCCTGCACAATACAGAAAAGGAAACGCTCGAGTTCTGGACCTTAGCTCTCTAGTTAAGGGTTCCTCGTGATGGACCTATTTTGTGAGTCCAGATCTATCGTGGCATCTCCTGTTAAGAGCCGTCGTCTTAGAGGTCTACATGAAGTTACTACAGTACAAATAGTTTGGTGAATTGCGTGGACGGACCACAAGCTCAAACGACAGATTCATCAGACAGCTCAAGGTTTATGTCACTGGCCATCAGGCCCCTGTATATGATGAGGATTAAAAGAGATTCTACTGTTCCTAATTTCCAGGTTCGAGCTGTTCGTCTGCAGCTGCCACAGGGATGGAATGTCTGCATGTCTTAGCATGTAGTAACGATGCCGGATAGACAATTACAATGTGGCTGCGGAAAGTCCGCCTTTTTGCTAATGTTTGTATAATGGCCGACCAAAATGGACCACGTGATTTACAGCTGAAGAACAGGGACCGCGAACAAACCTCACATCTTACACTTCCCACGGACGGTTCAAAAGATTGCAAAACCAAATTGGGGCAAGCAAATATATCACCCGGATACAACACCTTGCAGAATGCACTAAAGATTAGGCTAGCTTTGCAATTCACTGGGGCCATTTCCTGCTTCGGCTGCCGGGGCTACCGATCATGCTCCTTGTATTGCTAGACTCCGGTGGACTAGGTCCGCTTCTCTGACCATATACACTTCCCCGGTGACCTGAACTCGAATCACTCCCTCTCTGGACCTCCATCTCCAAACTCTTTGCTTCATCCACCAGCTTCAGTATCTGTTTGCAAGGCAAGTAGTCTCTACAGACATTAGAAGACATTTTCGGAGCATAAATGGTGCAATGAGGGATCAAAAACAGATCTCTCAATAACAAGCTATTGAAACTGGACTTCAAATAGTTCCCTTTCAACTGTTTTTTTTTTTTTTTGGTAACCGAGGTGTCCGGCCCTTTCAACTGTTAATATTGAGAGAAACAAATAAAATTCATGAGCAGACTTGAGGTTTTTCAGAAGACTGTTGACTGATCCTCACTGTCCCATAATGACCGAATTTAGGTTAGTTATTTACCCGAATCTCATTCTCTCTCACACGATCCTGAAGTACTCTAATGGCAGGGCTTAAACTGCAAAAAAAAAAAAAACCAACGAAAAGGATAAGTGCATTCAGTACAAATCAACAGTGACACAGAAAATCAATGGGCAGCAAAGGTAATAGATTCACACCAGAATTCCATTAACTTGCACATGGAAGCCTGATACGTTGAGGTGTGATGAATAAAAGTAAGCGGATGTGCTTTCCCGTCCCTAGATGGAAAATAAGCGCGGAAAGTCAAAATAAATGCCGCAAAGAGAACAGTAACAGAAACAGAATGCTTGAAAGTGGCAGTACTCAAGTCCCACCTCATATTTTGTCTGATGGCTTCAACATATGCTGCCCTTTCCTCTTCATAAATGACACGTTGCAGGTCCGTAAATGAAGTTAGAGGTGAAACAACATTAAGGAGAGAGGAGCTGGGTAACACATAGAGGGGTACTTCTTTCCTCACATACTCGGCGCCACTGCCAGCCAACAATGCAAATACTAAATTTAAGATTGAGAGGTCATGACAGCCTACTGGACAAAAAACGTACAATGATTGATCGGTGAGCATGCCCAAGACAGGTGGAATCGGAACGCAGAAGAAGTGGCCCCAAAAAAGGTAAAGAATGAATGGAGAAAAAGATAAAGTGCAACAGGAAAGGATAATTAAGTGCCGAGTACATACTCATGTATACCTCATGTCCAAGTTTGACCTATGCATAGCCTCTTGCATGCTTTCTGTCATATCCATGGGATCTATAGCAACAATGGCACTGCTGCTTGGATTTCCATTGCGATAATTTTCACCAATTATCTCTCTTCCAAGATAATTGGTATCAGCATTAGCAAAGAAACCCCCCAAGTCCGATGACCTTCCCCGCCCCTAGAAGTTCATACGAAATTACATTCATCAAGCTATGTTACCATAAACTACCGTTAGATAGAATAATTGATAGATCACAATCTAATGAGGTGACTGCCTTACAATTCCTTGACTCCAATCCTGTTGGCTTTACATTAAATAGTAACCCACCTTATTAGCTCCAGCAGAGATTCTGGAATCACCAGTGTCCTCTTCGGGGTTCTCCCCCCTCCCAGAGTTAGATCGTGCCAACAAATTCTCGGAGGAACTCAAAGATGATTCCAAGTCTATGACTGAACTTCTATTAACCGGAGATAGAGGGATAGGTCTTGATATCTGGTTTTGCTTCCCATCTGAAGATTGGAAAGCTATGACTTGAATTCTCCCAACCTGAAAACCCATAACATTGCAGTCAAATTGCTTCAAACTATCCACAACCTATTTATCAAATGAACTGCTTAACCGATCTGAAAGCTGCAAAACGTGTTGAGGGAAACTTAAAGAGTCCACATACCTTGCTAATATCCTCGCTAAAGCAGGAAAATATCAACCCAATGAATCCAGAATCTAGGAGTTGATACATTGCCTGTGTCCGTACATCTGCACAAAGTAGCACTCAAAAACCATCTTTAGAAAAAAACTGAGAAAACACTATCAACTTTGAATGAAAACGGCCTCATTCAATTCCCGAATCAAGTAAAGTAAATCATAAACAAGTGAAACGTAGTGAGGCCCTGGTGCAGCAATAAAGAGAGTTGCCAATGCTTTGTCCTTATAGAAATAATATATCATGCTTGATGTGCATTTGATTATTAATTTACTCCACAAAAAGTAGCGATTCGCAATGCTTACCAACATGGGACGGGAGAACCGTTATATGTGGGTGCGAATGGTACCATCCAATTACTCTTGTTGTTCTTCCTGTTGACATGGTCATCTCGTGCTATCTAGTCTAGTTAACCAAGAACATGATTGGCAAGATCCAAACAAACAGCTAGCAATGTGCGATAGCAAGCAATAATTACACTTTGTATATTTTAAAGTACCATAAGCATGGGCAAGAAACAGTTATTAGTCCTTTTAATCAGAATCAACTACAGCAGATTCAGCCTGTCGAAAGCAAACTATGTTGATAAAAAAATTGCCACGTTAGACTTCCTCCTTTGGTAGACTCACATATGTCCCCGTTGTTCTGATTATGTGATTTATATAGGGTATTGAGATTTTTAGTAAGTTGAGAGCAAAAGCTCCCCTAGATGGAATCAAATCAACAAATTTAACCATCAGAAACACATACCTTCTCACATCTTTTTACAATCTAGCCATAAAAGTCACAAAAAAGTTGCCAAAAACAACAAAAAAAAAAAAACATCATGATACATCTTATGACCTGCTAAAACAAGAAGACTGATGAAGAAACTCAAGCAATTTTTGTTCATTACAGAATATGAAATCCATATATGCAAATTAATGTTGAGCTCAAGAGATGAAGGCTTTAAAGGGGTTGATGAGCGAGTAAGGAATCAGAAAGGATATTTCAGCCAGCGCTGATGCAGCAGCCAACTGTTCGGGATTTGTCTCAACACGATCTTTTTGCCGGTCAGATCGTTTTTGAGGCGATGCACCCCAAATTATTGCTGTGACAGTCCCATTTTTTGAGTGCTGCAACATAAGAAACAAACTATCATAATAATTCTAGTAAAACCAAAAGAATATGGAAAGGTAAGAAGAATGCACATGGAATTTCATTCTAAGCTGTAGATCAGCTAAATACGGTCTATTCTTTTACCAAAGCAAGGAGCAAAACGACCAGTTCTCCTAGATATATCTTAATTTTAGTGCAACACTCAGTTATAGCTGCTTTACGAGTTTTGAATATAAAAAAAAAATACATAAAATCAAGAACCCCATTTGTCCCCCAACGAATCCATGGCAACCCGACCTACATAAGGGACATCACTTAACTACAGTTAGCTGACCATAGCTGACCACATGTTGTCACCTTCAAATCCTGGGGCCAAAAATGAAATGATAAGGATCTCCAAATAACAGAGAATTACCAAGCGTTATTCCAGGTCGACCGAATGTCAATTTGACCACAGAAACCAACCAAAGAAAACAAGGAATAGATGAGGCTAAACAACGAGTCAAAAATGTATAGACATCGACACCTTCAAGCAACTAAGCCCCCTTCTAACCATCCAGGCTCCAGGAATGAACAGGTCAATCTGATATTTAGACCCAACTAAGTGCCAATTTTGCATGTCATCTACACACCAATCCATCGGAGAACTACAAAAGCTAAAGGACGATGTTCTGGTGCTACGATATGAGTCATCTGTTATTATGTCTTCAATCTTTTGTTCTTGTAAAGTGTAATATCAGTATCATTATCAAATGCATCCCCAGCCCCAAAAGGAACCAGTTCGCACAGGTCTGCTTCGTGTAAGAGGTTAAATTATCAAGGTCGCTATTCTCATGACTTAACTGACCTCAATTCCATGATATAATATTCAATAGCATTTCCCACGGCCAAAGAGTTGATGCATTGTCCCTCGTGCACTTGATGCCAAGCACTTCTCAGAATGACACACAAGGTCTCATTAACTCCTTCTAAACAGAGATATTCTTGACAATATCAAAACATCTTACTGCATATATAAGTTTGGGCTTTTCTTTCTTTTTTTTTTCTTTTGCCTTCACAACCAAGTTTAGGTATGAACAACTTAACTCCAGCCTCCAGGAATGCATGTAATCCCACACGACTACCGAGATAAAGAAGAGAAAGCCACGATATTCTAGATGAAAATTAGATTGAAAAGAAATTATGGCGGTCGAAGCAGAATATGGCCTAATTCGTCAGTTTTCCAGTTCATCCGAATATGAACTAACATTGAAGTAAGCACACTAACAGACATACAATCTTGCAAGCTAGCAATTCTTCCAAAGTAGGAACTCAACGAGAGACCGAAAAAGGGGGAGAACACAAAAAAACGTTTTGGCACATAATCGAGGATTGCCCTGCATCCATAGACACAGTTATTACTCGAAACGCGGCACGAAACTATTCATCAGCAGCAAGGAAACAGCAAAAGATACAACCCCAAAATCCGAACGCCATCGACCTAGCTCAAACAAGGGTTGCCAATTCGCCGCAAACCCACCTCCTCTGAGACGACACCCAAGCAATTAAACGAATAAAAAATCGAACTTTGCCATTCGATTCAACGCTGGCGGCGTAACTGGTGCGGCTAATCGGGACAGGAACTCATATCGATCACGGCTCGTCCAGAATGGAGCTTCGGGGACAGCCAAAATTGCTTCTTCTTTTTTTTTTTTTGTCTCTAAAGGAAAAATCGCCTCGAATCCTATTACCGCTTCGCTCATCGTCCACCCAGAAAACAGCACCGCGTCGTCGACCCATGTCTGCTACACGCGAATCGGTTGCGGGGAAAAGGAAAGGGAGACAAGTAAAGAATGCGGGAGCACGAAGACAAGGAGCGGTTCTTGAATCAGGAGAGTTCACCTCGACGTCGCCGAGGAGGAGGCCCATGATCTCTTCGGTCTCCGTGGACAATGCGTGGGTGAGGCACGTCAGCCAGACCTCCTCCGACATTTTCACGCTCGTGAGGGACATGGTCTCTCTCTCTCTCCTCTCTCTCTCTCTCTTCCTGTGAAGGCAGCTACCGGTAGAGGGGAGATTAGAGAGAGAAAAGAAGAAGAGGAAGAAGAAGAAGAAAGAGGAGAAATCTTGCCCGAGGAGGTTTCGAAGCTACAGAAGTGAGCTCCGGTCGGGGTGAGGCCTACTACCCTGCGCGCGGGTGTAGCTTAACTATCACGGGCTCCCGCGAATGCGTTGCCTTTCTTTTTCTCCCTTCAAGTGTTGTGTTAGGCTGATTCGAGAAAAAGCCGCAAAACTTTAGACCGGGTGGTAATTCTAGTCTCGATTTTTTTTTGCCTCATAAAAACAATCACTAACTTTCGCCCTCATCGCAAATCCCGTCCCCCCCCCCCCCTTGTTTGAGAAACAAATGTTCTGGTCGTGGGCTTGGCGAATCTCGTCTATGGCGTCTCTCGACAGGCGGGTGGTTCGCGGCTTTAGATCACGACATAACGGCGAAGTCTGGCCGGAGAGATTCAATTTGAAGATCTTTTTGACTTCCTGGTGAAGTGAAGGAAACGATGAACATTTTTACCGTTATTCTTCAAGTTATGGCTCAGAGAAGGAAACAATAGTGATTTAAATCCAATCACCAAGCCATATCGATCTATTGCTTAAGTGGAATAGTCAAGCTGGACAATTAGGTACCGTATGATAATCATTCTGATTTTGTCCAGAACTGGTTTTTTGTTTCCAGAATCAGTTTTGGACCAGAAACCCGTTTGTTAACGCAATTTCATTTTTCTATTTCTGGGACAAGTTTTTGTTTCAGAACCGATTCTGAACCAGAAATCATAACCAAAAAAAAGTTGGTTTTCTATTTTTAGACCAAAAATGAGAATCATTTCTGAGATAACTCTTTCTTCAAAACACATGTTCATGTGGAAGTCACGATCTTTGAGGTGGGAAAAAAAAGCAAAAAATCAAAAATTTCAAAACTTCACATAATGGTTTAAAATCTGTGGCTACCTATTTTGAGCGAAATTTAAATTTTTTTAGGTGCCGAAAAAAATAAAAAAAATCAAAATTTTCAAAATTTCACAAAATGGCTTAGAATACTTATGGCCACCCACTTTGAGCGAAATTTAATTTTTTTTAGATGCCAAAAAAAATAAAAAATAATCAAAAAATCTAAAATTTAAAAACTTCACAGAATGTCTTAAAATACATGTGGCCACCCAATTTGAGCAAAATTTAATTTTTTCTAGATGCCGAAAAAAATAAAAAAAAGCAAAAAATAAAAAAATTTCAAAACTTCACAGAATGGCTTAGAATACCTGTGGTCATCCACTTTGAGTGAAATTTAAATTTTTTTATGTGTCGAAAAAAATAAAAAAATAAAAAATTTCAAAACTTTACATAATGGCTTAGAATACCTGTGGCCACCCACTTTCAGCGAAATTTAATTTTTTTTAGATGCCAAAAAAAATAAAAATAAGAAAAAAAGCAAAAATTTCAAAACTTCACAAATGGCTTAAAATACCTGTGGCCACCCACTTTGAGCGAAATTTTATTTTTTTAGGTGCCTAAAAAAATAAAAAAAAAAGCAAAAAATTAAAAATTTTAAAACTTCACATAATGGCTTAGAATACCTGCGGCCATCATCTTTGAAAGCAAAATTTAAATTTTTTAGGTGCCGAAAAAAAAAAAAAATCAAAACTTCACGAATTGCTTAGAATACCTATGCCACCCACTTTGAGCGAAATTTAATTTTTTAGGTGCGAAAAAAATAAAAATAAGCAAAAAAGCAAAAATTTCAAAACTTCACAAAATGGCTTAGAATACCTGTGGCCACCAACTTTGAATGAAATTTTATTTTTTTAGGTGCCGAAAAAAAGAAAAAAATCAAAAATTTCAAAACTTCACAGAATGACTTTGAATACATGTGGCCATCCACTTTGAGTCAAATTTAATTTTTTTTAGGTGCCGAAAAATATTTAAAAATCAAAAATACCATTTGGGCACCTAAAAAAATTAAATTGCACTCAAAGTGGGTGGCTAGAGGCATTCTAAGTCATTCTGTGAAGTTTTAAAATTTTTGATTTTTTTATGTTTTTATTTTTTTTTCGGCACCTAAAAAAATTTAAATTTCACTCAAAGTGAGTGGCCACAGATATTCTAAGTCATTCTAGGAAGTTTTGAAATTTTTTATTTTTTGCTTTTTTTTCTCCTCAAAAAATTAAAATTTCACTCAGAGTGGGTGGCCACAGGTATTCTAAGCTATTCTGTGAAGTTTTGAAATTTTTGAGTTTTTGAATTTTTTTAGGCACCTTAAAAAATTTAAATTTCACTCAAAGTGGATGGCCACATGTATTCTAAACTATTCTGTGAATTTTTGAAATTTTTGGAATTTTTTATTTTTTGATTTTTTTTGGGCACTTAAAAGAATTTAAGTTTCACTAAAAGTGAGTGGCCACAGGTATTTTAAGTCATTCTATGAAGTTTTGAAACTTTTGATTTTTTGATTTTTTTTTGAAAAAATTCAACAAATTTTCTATTTTCTAGAAAAATCTGATTTTTTTTTTTTGGAAATTGTGATGAATTTTTCTAGAATTTTTTTATTTTTTTGGGTTTTTTGAATTTTTTTGAGATTTTTAGGAATTTTTTGGATTTTCTAATTATTTTTATTCCATTTTTAAAAAAAAATGGATTTTTGTTCGTGGAAATAGAATTTTGTGTTGTTTATCAAACGAGTTTTTGTTTCAGGAAATAGAAATTTTGTGCTATTATCAAACAGGTTTCTGTTCCAGAAATAGAAATTTTTGATCGTTATCAAACGGGTTTCTTTTATCAGAAACTCATCCTGAAACCAGAAATAGAAAAATCTATTTCTGTTTCAGGAACTCATTCCGGAACAGAATGGTTATCATTCGCTACCTTAGTAGCTTTAAGTTAGGGTGGCCAGATTTGGGCTTTAAGTAAAAGTTAATGATTTTTTATGAAATAAAAAAAAGTTGGGGCCAGAATTATTACTTAACCTGATGTTGATGCTTTTTTTTGGAATTAGGCCTCGAGTGTTTGATCATTAATTTTTTGCAGCAAATGAATAATTTGAGAAATGTTTTTTTTTCAAAAACGGATCGCTTTAATCACTAATAAAATGAATAAACGAAAAATATTTTTATTGTCCAAGAAATTTTTTAGACATAAATTATTCGTTTCGTAAATAATAATTATTTTGATTGTTTTGGATGTCTTTCAGTGAATTCTGAGTCAGTTTGGAGATATGATGCGATCACAGAGGAATTGAACATCTCAAAAGGTTTCCTTTAAACAGTGAGAGTTTTCGACCCAAAAAAAAAAAAAAACAGTGAGAGTTTTATTTGATTTAGCCGTTTGAATTGTGTTCAATGCTCGATATAAGAAGATGGGAAAGAGAACATAAGAGGAGCCTTAGAGTCCGTTTATTTGAAGGGAAATTTGTTCTCGGAAAATTGATTTTCGACTTTCCGATATTTAGATGACAGAAAATTAATCGATCTACTTTTTCATGGACCTAAAACAATAAGATTAGATAAAAAAAAACGACTTTCATTTCTGGCTAGATGAAAATCACTTTCCCAAAATCACAAAATAAATGAAAATTAAATATTTTCCTTGACAAAGATTTTTATAAAAAAATATTTCTTTTTTGTCATGAAATTTCAGGGAAACAAATCCACCCTTAGTACCAGGGAGGAAGAGAGTCAAGCTGCTTGTGACATTGTTCAACTTTGGCTTTGCTTCTTTTCATCCTCAAGAGCTCCAAGCTCTAAATATCAAAAGTGCACATTTTGCTCTCATCATTATCTTTTACTGGTTCTTTTTCAATGTGCAATGTTCTGATGTGTAATCTTTTTGCTTGTAAGTATTTCTCAATTTCTGATACAATTTTTCCTAGTCGTTGCGTACCTTTTCTGAAAATCTGGCTATGACTACCTGTGCTCCAAATAAATGACAAGCGCAGATCTATTTGTTGAGCTGAATTACACCATTCTCATGGTATCAGAGCTACAACAGATCGAATACTATCTCCTCTCATCGCCATGGCTATGGCTTCTGCTCAATGATAAAACTTCTGCCATCATTCCTTCTACCGCCTTTCCTTCTTCATCCGCAGAGACATGAATTCTGAACGCTCCACCTCTCACTATGTCCATTGATGCTGTCCGAGTGTCGATTCCTCTCCTCGATCGTTCTCTGTTGGTTTCACGGGTCCTGCTCTTTCCTCTCAGCCTATACCATCCATTCCAATTGGTCTGCTACTTACCCTTCCACTCACCAGCCCAATATCTCCTTTTTTTGAGTGCATTAACCTCTGTTCCTCTCTTTCATCCCACCCATCTGCAAACCCCATTCTCTTCCTCACATGACCTTACCTCAGCCTCCATCATCCCCTCGCGTGTTAGTCGCTCCGAATATAACCCGTCTTGTTTCTCTTAAACTGGATTCTGCAAGTTTCTCTGTCCTAATCTGTCATGATCTCATAGGCTACGTGGACGGTTCCTTCTCGTCTCCACCCCAGTTCATTGCCGATGCCAATGGACGGCTTATTCTAAATGCAACATAGTCTACGCTCTTGGATCAGTGCAACATTGACAGAAGACATTTTGCAAGAGGTGTATCAGCATCCTGCTTCCCGTGATGTTTGAATCACTTAAATGGCAATTCCATGATGAGTCCACAGCTGAAGAGATGCAACTCAAAACTGCAGCTTCAATCTCTCAAAAAGGGGTAATCAGCCTATGGATTCATATCTTTATAATTTGAAAACTATTGCGGATTCATTGGCTGCCATTAATTCAGCTATTACGTCGACAGAACCGGTTATCTGTGCATTGGCTGGTCTTCCACCGGAGTATGAATCTTTTGTCACTGCAGTCATGAGCAATGATACGATCTTGACTTTTGATGCTCTACGTTCAAAATTATTGTATGAAGAGCAGCTTTTGCAAGCAATCGATGGCTCTCCTTCCACGAAGAATAATACCACCTTTGCCGCTCGTGCAAGCGCCGGTAATATTAGGAGGCGCGGTTCTTCTCGCAGTTGAGGTCGTGAATGTGGTGCAG